TAGCAGATTTTACCGTTTCATCCTGAGTATTCCATTTTAGCAGCAAGTTATACATTCTTGAAAGTGTTTTAGTTTTGGGATCTAGCAGTTCTATTTCCAACTTTGATTTTTCCACCTGGAAGCCAATTTTTCTATCCAAATTATAGACCTCTCTTATTTGGTAATAATGCAACCAGTCTCGCACTCTATCTTTTAGTTTCTCAAAACTCTGCAATTTGAATTTATCTCCTTCTTGTTCCAAGATCTCCCAATATTTTGGCCACTTGGCCTCCATATTGGGCTTTTTCAGAGCCTTTGCCTCCATTGGTGATAGCCACCTTGGGGTTTTATTCTCCAATAAGTCTTTATATCTTATCCAGACATTGAACAATGCTTTCCTGACAATATGGTTTTTAAATACTTTGTGAGCTTTAACCTTGTCATACCACAAATATGCATGCCACCCAAACACATTATTGAAACTTTCTAAGTCCAAAACATCAGTATTTTCCAGAAGTAACCAATCCTTCAACCAGCAGAAAGCTGCTGATTCATAATAAAGTTTAAAGTCTGGCAGGGCAAATCCCTCTTTCTTTAGCATCAGTCAATATTTTAAGTTTTATCCTGGGCCTCTTGCCCTGCCAGACAAACTTAGAGATATCTCTCTGCCACTTCTTAAAACAATCCATTTTGTCTATTATTTGTATCGATTGAAACAAAAACAGCATTCTTGGCAATACATTCATCTTGATGACAGCAATTCGACCTAACAAGGAAAGCTTCAAATTTGTCCATATTTCTAAATCCTTTTAATGTCCAACCAACACTTTTCATAATTGTCTTTAAATAAATTCCCATTTTTAGCTGTCATATGAATCCCCAAGTATTTCACTTTTTTTACCACTGTTAAACCTGTCTCATTCTGAAACCTCTCTTTTTCAATCGGTGTTAAATTCTTCTCAAGTACTTTAGTTTTAAACTTATTCAACTTAAAACCTGCCACTTTATTGTATTAATTTCCAAGTGCTTTCCCCATTGAACTATTATTTGGTGCAAATGGCATACAGTCTAATGCATCTGATTGATTGGCAAATGTTTTCTGGGCATCCTGCCATCCAGCAACTGTTAGAACATGGTTGTTTGGAAAAGGCACAGAAAAGAGAATGTTGCACTCACAAGTGTTGCTGACTCTGGTTTGACAGTCATCCCTCTTCCCAAGGAATTCTGGGAATTGTTGTTCTGTGTGGAGGGATGCCTGTTTTAAGAGGCAATACCCCTGTATGGGAGAATTCAGAACCCCACCAAGCTAAAGTTACCAGAATTCTTTAGGCAGCAATATCATTACAATTCCATTTTGTTTTTTCATTTTTAAATGTTATGGTATTAGTGAAACACTGTTGCATTATCAATTGTTTCATTACATATTTACACATAAAATCTATTTTCTTTCTTTCTTTCTTTCTTTCTTTCTTTCTTTCTGAATGCAAACAGTTCCCTTTATGGAAAACAGTTACATAGCTAAACAAGGACTTAAATACTTGTATGTATACTACATCTTGTAGAGTAGAAGAAATAATCTCATTACCAATAAACCCTGATCTTATCCAATATTTTCCTTACAGTTGTTGACTTCATTGCAGTATATGCTGAATTCCTTCAATTGTTTAAACAAATGGGATTCATCTGGTTGAACTGAAGACGTATCTAATGGGAAAACATAGAACTTAACGTTGGATGTTTCTGAAGCCATAAGGTTTGGCATAACTTAGATACCCAAATCTGAGATTCCTGCATCACAGGGGGCTGGATTCAATGCCCCTTGAGGCCCCCTACAATTCTATTATTCTATGATTCTGCTAATACTGCAAATTCAGTCACATCAATTTGTCCATTTTATGCCAGTTGCTTTGTGCCTGTTCCTGGCAAGCACCACACCAGGTTGCAGAAGGAGCAGTAGAATGGCCTTGTCCTATTATTTGCTTATGTTGAGAAAGTGTTTGTTCTTACTTGCTCAACTAGAATGCCGCAAAGCAATTAGACAACCTGAAAGCAAGAGTTGTGGCAGTCTGCTATTTCTGCTCCAGTGGTATATCTGCTTCTCAGTTATAGTGTAAGTAGATTATTCAAGTGTAAAGGCGGGGGACGGACAAGTGGGACCTGCAACAAAATGTTTCGGTGTGGAGTTCCCCTGTTCAAGGAAACAGGCAGTCATGCTCTCTTCAATGATACTCCATTGCATCCCCTGCCTCTGGTTTTCCTTTCCTTCCCATCAGTAATTCAGCATCCTATGGCCACTGGGCATGCTCAGGGCTCATTGCAACACCTGATCTCAGGTTTAATTCCTGCTTAGAGTCTGTAGGGCAAGGATTAAAATCTCAGGGTATGGGTCTAGAAGGAACGGAGCAGGCTGTTTTCAGCTTGGCTTCATGAGAGTTTTTTTAATCAGTTTGTTCTGCTGCTATCTACCATGTCCTTTAGGATCCAGCTAGGTTCTGTGCTGTATAGAATTCCAGTTCCCAGGTCTCTGTGCCTTCATCCCCAGAGGAGAAACCCATACCTGCTGCCTTGTGGAACACATTCAGGAGAAGAAAAGGCTAAGCAGCAGGGGCGGCTTGCCCATAGAGGCAAGTGGCGCGGGGCGCCAGGGCGCCAAGTTCTGGAGGGCGTCAGGGAAGAGGCGGAGGCTGGGCACAGCGCCTCCCGGCATCAGCTCACCGCCCTCGCCCGCCTCGCTGAAGCAGCACTGTGCCCGGAGCCTCCACCTCTTCCCTGCTGGAGGAGCCGTCCTCCAGCCGCTGCCCTTCTCCTCCAGCCTCGCAAAGCTGCCAGCAGCGCTGTAAAAAGGTTGGCAACTCTGGGAAGGGGGGGGGAGGCACCGGAGCGATATTTGCACCACTGTGCCAGATATACTTAAGACGGCCCTGCTAAGCAGTAAACTCTACACAAATCCGGAGTAGAGTCCCTAAGAAAGTTGAATGACATCTTGTATGCTTCCTTCTGGCAACTCCTGAAGCCAAGCTGGTGCCTAATAATAATAATAATAATTTATTTGTACCCCACCCATCTGGCTGGGTTTCCCCAGCCACTCTGGGCGGCTTCCAACAAAGATTAAAAATACATTAAAATGTCACACATTTAAAACTTCCCTGAACAGGGCTGCCTTCAGATGTCTTCTAAATGCCAGGTAGTTGTTTATCTCTTTGACATCTGATGGGAGGGCATTCCACAGGGTGGGCGCCACTACTGAGAAGGCCCTCTGCCTAGTTCCCTGTAGCTTTGCTTCTCGCAGTGAGGGAACCTCCAGAAGGCCCTCGGCGCTGGACCTCAGTGTCCGGGCTGGACGATGGGGGTGGAGACGCTCCTTCAGGTGTTGTTCTGCATTCCTTTGGATCACATCAGCGAGGCTGAGAGAGAGGTCTTGTCATCTGGGCAGCCCAGGATCTCCAGACACACTGCGCAGACTTGCACCCTAGGGAAGTCACTTTGGTGCTGATAACACAACAGAAACAACACAGGAGACAGCAGTTATGAGTTCCTGGTCTCTGTAGCTGCAGCGTGGTCTCTACAGCCACAGCGGGCACTGCGATTCTCTGGTGGTTTGGCTTCCCCTCCAGAGATTTCACTCCACTGTCTTTCAAAACAGACAAATTCCAGCAAGAATTTAAACCCACCCACCCACCTGACCTATGGCTGAATCCTAAATATATATTAGGGGCATGGACAGTATGTGTGTGTGGGGGGGGTCCTATTTATGACCCTGGGACTCAGCCCTAAACCTTGTATTCTGGGTTTGGGCCGTGGCCTAGTGAGCTAGCCGTTTCACGTCACTCATCCAACCTATCAGCACCCCAGATTTTAACTGGAGTAGTGCCTTGTACCGAATTCCACGGCAAGTCCTACCAAAATAAGCATATGGAAATAGTTTATTTTTCAGCAACAGACTTTGAGGATGGCCTGAGTGTTAACTGACAGCTGCCTGGTTGTCGGGGTTGTTTCTGTGTTTTGCGTTGCGCAACATAATGGTACATTGTCAGATATCTGAGGAGAGCTAGCCCTACGCCTGTTGGATAACGACTGATCAATTGAATAAGTGATCTACTGCAGCGCTTTCCAATAAGGGTAATTATATGCTGTCAGCACTCTTTGTGAACAAATAATGAGGAAAGCATTGATTCGAGGGAGCCCTTTTCCAGAAGTGCCTGTGTGCAAATCCTGAGAACTTGCTTCATGGCTCACTTCACAGCCAGTTCGTATTATCATGTTTCAGGTCTCTGGGAGCCCAGACAGTCTGAACAAAAGAAATTACTTCATTTCTTGCGATAAGTTATTGAAACCTAGGACAGGAATGACAGAAATAATTATGTGCTGATGATATGTTTTGCATTCAAATGGTTTGTGTGAGGTTTTGTAGTGTAGGTACAATACTGGTTTTGCTAGACTGTGGTGGAAGCACACAGGGCGAAGCAGAGAGGTCTCACTCCAGAGATCTCCCTCCCTGGCAACTTGAATGCTTTTTGCAATAGTGTCCCAAGGGTCTAGGAGCAAAGAGGCCCTAGTACAGGCATAAGCAAACTCAGTCCTCCAGATATTTTGGGACTACAACTCCCATGATCCCTAGCTAACCAGACCAGTGGTCAGGGATGATGGGAATTGTAGTCCCAAAACATCTGGAGGGCCGAGTTTGCCTGTGCCTGCCCTAGTACGCACAAAGGCACTTTGTGGTGGAAATTGCACCACTTGGTCATAGCAGTGAAAATCTGTTGTGAAGTTGCATGTTGACTGCATCCTTTCAAAGTGATTATCTTCATACCTCTTTTATGTGCTAGTCATCTATGTGCATTTATCTACCTGTCAGAGAAAGGGAGAGAACACTTGACAACTTTATTCATCCGATTGCATATAGGCCATGGTATTTTGCTTTAATCAGACTACAATTTAAAGTCAGAAACTATTTTTTCTCTGCTGAGTATTAATTGTGTCTCCCCTGGAGTAGTCAGGGAGAAAACGTGAAGGCTTCAAATAGTGTGTGTATGTGTGTGTATATATATATATGTGTGTGTGTATATATATATATGTATATATATATATACATACACACACACACACACACACACACAGTCAGATTAGATCAAACCCTATGAATTTGTAACAGGCGAAGCCGCATAACCTCAGCAGACATGCAGAAGAGCAGCATTAATGTACTAATGGGCACTGTGCCTGTGGCTGATCCCCCTCACAAAATGATATATTTTGCTGGGTCTGGGAGTAAAAAGGAAAGTGCATTGTCTTGCCAATAGATTTATTATTGGCTTTTGTAGACAAAAACAAAGCTCAGACGAAAGCCTTGTTTTGGCGTCGCTCCAAGGTATTTTTTCTTGCTCTTGCTGGACACCAGTTAAGTTTGTCTGACATTCAATGAAAGAATGGCATGCTGCAATAATTAGTTTTATATGCCTCCTGAAAAACGTCCAGACATTTACTTTGTTCTGTGTTTTCACCCTCTGCACCAAGCAGTTGACTTTCGTTAGTGATACACAGTACAGGATGCACTCAGTGATGAATCAGACTGGGAGGGACTGGGGATGTTGTAGCACCGGCAGCTGCTCAAATGCACAAGTTCTTTGCACTTCCAGCTGTTGCAGTGCTGTTGCAGTGCACAAAGGAGAACATGTAGAGAAAAGTTCATAAGTCACAGAAGCACATCTAGTTTTCAGATCCTTCCAGCGCAAGTTGCTCTTTGGACATGACAGAAGCAGTACAACAACCCAGAAGTGATACAAGTGAGACATACCGTATTTTTTGCTCCATAGGGCGCACCAGACCATAGGGCGCACCTAGTTTTTAGGGGGAGAAATAAAGAAAAAAAATTTATTCCCCCCCCCCAGCCGCGGGGCTGGGGCGGGGGAAGCCCAAGCTTCCATGACCCCAGCCCCCAGAACAGGCTGCTATCCGCAAGCCTTCGGAGACCGGCAGGCAGGAACTCCCGTCGCGTTCAGAAGGCTTGCGGATAGCTGCCTGAAGCCCGGGGCGCGCAGCGCTGCGCTCCCTAGGCTTCAGGCTGCAGGCTGCTGTCCGCAAGCCTTCGGAGCCCGGCGGGAACTCCCGCCGCGCTCAGAAGGCTTGCGGATAGCTGCCTTAAGCCTGAAGAGCGAGAGGGGTGCGCACCGACCCCTCTCGCTCTCCAGGCTTCAGCGAAAGCCTGCATTCGCCCCAAAGACGCACACATATTTCCCCTTCATTTTCGGAGGGGAAAAAGCGCATCCTATAGAGCGAAAAATACAAAACAGCAACTGATTTAAATCAAGTGTGCCACCTGCAGTTCCTCTAACCTCTAGCTCTCCTTGCACAAATTGCGACCCATGAAGCTGAGCATCAGACAGTGAACATGCATTATGGCCTGCCATGCATGCACATGGCAAAAAGAAAAAGGGTTATCGTGCTCCTGGCAAGCTGACACACAGGGCTGTGTTTGGCTTGATGCATCACAACTTGCACATGTCTGCGTTAGAAGAGCAGCTCCAGGTAAAAACAAATGCATTGCTAAATACCGTTCTGTGAAAATGATGATATTGTTAACTGAGATAGCTCAGCTGGTGGAGCCTGAAATTCTTAATCTCAGGATTGTAGGTTTGAGCACCACATTGGGCAAAAGATACTTGCATTGCAGGGGATTGGACCAGATGACCCTCACGGCCCCTTCCAAATCTATGATTCTATAGGAGTCACAAAGTATTCAGTGTGTGTTATTTCTCTCAATACTTTATCTGAATCATAGAATCGTAGAATGTTCGCTTTTGCTTGAACAAAAGGAGAAAATGTTAGTGAACTTTAACTGATGCCACCTTTGGATTTTTTAAAAAGTAGCACTACTAGCCAAAGGGACGTGGGTGGCTTTGTGGTCTAAACCACAGAGTCTAGGACTTGCCAATCAGAAGGTCGGTGGTTCGAATCCCCATGACGGGGTGAGCTCCCATTGCTCTGTCCCAGCTCCTGCCCACCTAGCAGTTCGAAAGCAAGCCAGTGCAAGTAGATAAATAGGGACCGCTCCGGCGGGAAGGTAAACACTGTTTCCGTGCACTGCTCTGGTTTCGCCAGAAGCAGCTTAGTCATGCTGGCCCCATGACCCGGAAGCTGTACGCCGGCTTCCTCGGCCAATAAAGTGAGATGAGCGTCGCAACCCCAGAGTCATCCACAACTGGACTTAACGGTCAGGGGTCCATTTACCTTTTACTAGCCAAAAACAGTCAGTCATTCCAAGGGAACTAGGCTGAAGTAGAGGCAGATATTGTGTCTAAAGAGGGGATATAAGGACTGTGTTTGGGCCAATATGTAGTGGGCCTGCATCCCAGCTTACATTACTAGCCACTCTGCACCCACAGCACCCACAGCATACAGTTCCCACCTGACTGATACCTCTGTCGCTGCCAAGCAATGCCCTCCGTGATCCACAAATTCTTACTCCTCCTCTTCATCAGTCACCACTGTCGAACCTTGTGACACAAATTGCAGAGTGTAATGTGCCACTTCCTTGAAGAAGAAGAAAAAGGATAAGGAATCTCAAAAATTGAAGACTATTAAACCACAGCATGATTGGGAGACATGGGTAGGGGCCACTTGAGCAAAGTACCTCCATATTTTGCATAGCCACGTTGTAGCTTGGCTTCGTCATTAAGCAAAGTTGTATGTTGTAGGGAGAGAGATGCGGGAAATCATTCCAGCTCTAGGAAGGAAAAGGCTCTGCGGGAGCAAAGAGGGAACCAGCCGCAGCATGAGCAACAGCAAGCACGTTCTGCGCTTGTGTCATTAATTGCTACTACTGAAGGTAAAAAAAGGTAAAGGTAGAGGACCCCTGGACAGTCCAGTCAAAGGTGACTATGGGGTGCTGTGCTCATCTCTCTTCAAGCCGAGGGAGCTAGCATTTCTCCACAGACAGGTCATGTGGCCAGCAGGACTAAACCACTTCTGGCACAACGGGACACTGTAACGAGGGCCTGAGCGCATGAAAACACTGTTTATCTTCCCACCACAGCAGTACCTATTTATCTACTTGCACTGGTGTGCTTAAGGTCGGTGGTTTGAATCTGTGCAACTGGGTGAGCTTCCATTGCTCTGTCCCAGCTTCTGCCAAGTACAGAAGGAATACACAACTTGGGGGGGGCGGTTGACTGGCAATCCTGGCTTTGTGGGTCTAATGGGGCTCTGTGCCCCATTATTTCAGGTTCTCTCCCTTCCTCTCCCAGAGCTAGGGCTGTGGTGGCCAGGAACTCTGGGTGGATGAGGTTCACTAGGTCAGCACAAAGCCCCTCACTAACCCCAGGGATTCTCTCTCCCTGGCACCCCCACCCACCCCTGCTGGAGATGCAAATATTTTCATCTGGTTCATTATGGTGACTGCCCAGCTAACTCTCCACCCCCCTCATCTGAATGTGACTTGCCCCTGAGAAAACATTCCTAAATGGTTGCTGTGATTTTGCCTCTGCTGTAGAAATGGGAATTATGGGAAGCTAATGAGGCTAGCACCCTTATGTGGATCTTCCTTATTCCCTGATTAATTCTGTCTGAGTTCTTATTTGAGGACACTGGGTGAGTCCTGAGGTTTTGCAGCATGGTGTTTGGGTCTTAAATTCAATGGCACTCTTCATTCAGAAGTAAACGGATTATCTGTTGGGTCCGAGAAATAAAATGCATTTGGTCATGACGCTTTAGGTCATCCTTATGTATTACGAGTTGTGGTAGTGTAGCGACAGAGACGTACTACCTTGAAACGTGAAATCTGATGTGAAGGCATATAATGCAACAGTCTTGCTGGAGCACTGATGATCCAGGTCTATTCGATGCCAGGATGACATGTTGCCTGGGAATCCTGTGTACACCATGCTGACTCTTGTGATGAAATTAAAATCTAGTTCTGCATCTCTTCAAAAACACACAGGCAGACAGACCCATCTTTGGACATGCATCTTTGTATGCAATTGTATGAGAATGAAGGGAATTTAATTCTAACAAAGGCCAGATGGTGGTATCTTTCCAAGGAATAATTTTGTTCCTATTTAGCACGTGAAGACAATACAATTTTAAAAATAAAACCCAGCAAGTCCCACCCCACAAGAAAACCCTATTATCCTTTCAGCTTTCCTGACAAGATTTTACTTTATCCAGCCAAGAAACATAATGTACTTGTACACACCAGTGAATTGATTCTTGGGCTAGGATAATTAAAGCGTGTGTTTGGGTCCGTGATTACAAGAGACATTCCTTTTTGCAATGTTTTGTGCTGGGGATTTGTCGGCTCCGTAAGGAATAAGGAGTTGTGAGAACTGCAAGAGGGGTAAATGGGCCACACATTCTCTCTCCTGCGCCAAGGACAGAATATTGCTTTGGAGGTTTACAAACAACTGCTGAGGCGTCTCTTTCATATTGGCTGAAACTATTTGGATCCCAGCAAATGTCCGTTATGTTTCGCTTCTTTCAGAGAAGAGAACCAAAAGCATTTGCTTCCAAAACATGCCTTTTCTGCTTATGCAGAACATATGGGGAACAAACCAGTGGGAAGACCTCCAACGGCCCCTCGCAGAAGCGACTCAGCTCCACTGGGGCCCATTCAAGAGGCTTTGGTGCTGGATTGCACCCTTTGCTGTTGCATTCAGCTCTGTTGCCATTTTACTTGTTTGGATTTTGTTGACCCCAGTAGAGCAACGACCCTCCCATTTTCTTTCTTTCTGAGAAGTCTTCCCAATGTGCCCATATGCTATCCTTGTGGAAGCTGTGTATGTAGAAGTCTAGTTCTCCTATTCAAAAGTGAGGAAAGGAATTCTGGACACTCTTGGTGACTATGATCCCACAACATTTTAACCATCTGGCATACCTGCCCTTTGCGAGTATATTGTTGGGTCTAGGTTCACAATCAACCATCAAACTCATTGGGCAACCTTGGACTGGTCAACCTTGGCTCCAGATAAACTGTATATTTGTTTGTTACTTGGGGTTTCTTGGGGAAGACAAATCATGAAGTTGGGCTCCTACATAATGCTAAGCCAAACTATGGCTTGGCTGCAGGTAGTGTGGCAGCTGCAGGACTCAGGAAAGAACAAAGGAGGCACAGTTTTATCTCTGGCCA